ACACACACACACACACACACACACATATGCAATGTTGTTGGGGTTTTATTTAAATTGTACTCCAAGTTCTGGGTAAGGGCTGAGTCAGATGCCACATAGTAATACTTGTCTTTATATATTCTAGCTACATGTGTACCTTATACTTTCTAGTAGCCATATTATGTGAAAAAAAAGGACAATCTGAAATTAATTTAAAGAATTTATATGTCTTTAACCCAGTATGTAAAAATATTAATATACCCTGTTTGCACAATGTTTAAGCACGTAACTGGTAACAGAAAGTTCAATTGTTTGAATGTACCAGTGGCTCTGCAGGAGAAAGCTTGTGAAAATCTGCTTTCATGAAAGTTACAGTTTACAAAACCCTACAGGGTAACTCTACCCTGTCATATGGGGTCCCTATACCACCAGTCATCTGTTAGGTTTTTGTACAGAGGTGACTTGAGAGTTGCTGTGATTCTGGAAGCTATGACATTGGTGTCTCAAATACCATCAGAATCAGAATTGTGAACAGAATTCATTGGAGCTTTCAGATGAAAACAGACTGAGAAGAAGCACCTGGTGATCTAATGCTGGAAAAAATTGGTCAGTGAAAACCTATGGATTTCAGAAGAACATTGTTTGATACAGTAATAGAAGATGAGATGCATTAGTAATTGGAGTGATAAACTTGAAAACAAAAGAAGGTTCAGTAGTTGGGGAAAATGGTATTAGTGATGGAAATGAAGCCAAAGACTACATAATAGAATTTTGTAAGACCAATAACTTGTTCATTTCAAATACCTGTTATCAACAACATGAATGGTGACTATACATGTGACCTCATGAGAGGAATACACAAGAATCAAATATACTATATATACTATATGTGTGCAAAGAGACAATGGAGAAGCTCAAAATCAGCAGTCAGAAAATAATACTAAGGGCTAACTGTGGAAGAGACAATTAATTGCTCATAGCAAGTTCATGTTCAAGCTGAAAGTAACAACAGAGCATTAAACCAAATATGGGGTCATTCTGAGCATGGGACTTAGTGTGGTTGCACAGGGCACATACTCACTGGCCCTTTCAACAATATCAACAAGAGAAACCACAACTTTCTTAACATGAACATGTAATAGAAAAGAGCATGTTATTATTTTAAATAAGGATCTTAAGATGGTCTTTTAAATACTTACTGAGAAGAAAGAGTCAACTAATTTTATTTTTGCCATTGTTTCTAAATATCCAGAATGGAGAAAGCACAATATCCAGAATGGAGAAAGTCATAAAGAAACCTTGAAATAAAATTTTCTAGAATAGGGATCACCACTTTTCTGTCAATTTATAATACTGTAGTGGGTTGCATGTTTCTGTGATGCTGGAAGTGAGGCCTCAATATTTTAAATATAGGTAGGTTCAAACATGGAGTCCTGGTGTGGTGTTGTGGGTTAATATGCTAGACTACAAGGTCGGTTTAAATAGCAAGGTCAGTGGCTCTTTGGAAACTATTGGTCGGAATTGACTTGACGGCACTTCACAACAACAACAAGGATCAAACATGGTGTACAGTTTTCATCAGAGCTTCCAGATTAAGACAGACGAGGTAGAAGGTATTTAGCAACTGAAAACCTTATAAACAGCAGTGGAACATTGTCAGATATAGTGCCAGAAGATGAACCACTCAGGTTGGAAAGCACTCAAAATATTACTGGAGAAGAGATGGTTCCTCAAAGTTGAGTTGACTATACTGATGTAAATGGAGTAAAGTTTTGGTACCTTCATTTGTGATGGAGCACAACTTAAAAGGAAGAGAAACAGCTGCAAACATCCAATAATAATCAGAACTTGAAATGTATGAAGTATGAATCTAGGAACATTGGAAGTTGTCAAAAATGAAATTGAATGAATGAAAATTGATATCCTAGGCATTTGTCATGGGAATTCTGGTGTGGCGCTGTAGGATAAAGCACTGGATTACAAGTTTGGTTCGAACTCACTAGCTGCTCCTTGGGAACCCTATCCAGGGTTGTTATGAGTCGGAACCAACTCGATGACACTTGGCAACATAACAACAACAGGCATCAGTGCGCTGAAATGAGGTGGTACTGGCAAATTTTGAAGCTAACATTCTTCATATGGCTACTACTACTATTATCATACTGGTTTTATTATACTAGTATAACACTATTACTACTACTATACCAGTTACTACTACTATTA